AGCATACATTTACTTCCATAAAAAAAACCACAATACAATACAACGCTAGCTGACGTCTCGGCAGTATTTCAGCTGTTCTAAACTTCCTCATTGGAAGTCACGAAAAAAGCGGCTCTGAAGAAGGCGATACTGCCGAAACTTCAGCTAGCGTTGTATTGTATTGTGTTTTTATGGAAGTAAATGTATGCTGTTTAAAAACCTCGCGATTGCTCAACAAGAAAACGACACATTCATATTCCAGTGCCGAGGTTAAGAGAAAGTCGATCCTGGGAACTATTACAAGATGTATCAACTATTAAGGTTCATCACTCACTCACATAATCTACTTAATTGTGGAGAAAACTCTAACACTCTCTCAGAAATTTATCGACTGAAGTTGGATGTTCTAAGCTTCATAAAAATTTATTCACTCACCTCTTTGTTGTTACGTGTCGAATTTAGTCGCTTATCAACCCAAAACTGAAATTGAACAAAGAAATTTTTTCTCTACGGCTTTCCCAAATAAAATTTTTTCTTAATCCTTAAGTAAATATTTTGTTTGCTCTTCAAAACATACAGTTTACATCCTGTTCATGGTCAGGAAATTGTGCCCAAATGAATTGCGTGGAATACGGTAAGTTCATAGGAGTATTTCAAGTATTCAACAGCAAATTTCTCCCAGCTTGTACTGCTACTTTGTTATAATAATCTCACGTTCGCTCCATTTTATGTCATGGACATCTGAATATTACAAAGCAGGAGTTACCACAGATCGCCAGAGAAACCAAGAAAAATCTCGAAATAAGTAGGAGATTTGGTAGGTAAGGAAAAATTAGCCCGTCGGGTTACCCATATCACGAGTGTCTTTGGTGTCTCCGTTTTTCCTGAGCATTTTATTATATCAGTCGAAAATCCTGTAGTAAAATATACCTGTCGAAGCTCAAGACGTGGGCTAGTTTGAATGCCTTTCCATGAGAACTCGTCGTCCAATTCATCACGTTTCCTCTTCTTTTTGACCTTTGGTGGTAATCCTTCATTACGCGACATGAATCCGACAACGGCCAATTCCAATAACGAGAGGAAGATAAACAACATACCACTGAAAAACCCGAATTTGTTATGTAGGCTAAATTCTAGCATTCCGTTTGCGCTTCCAACACAAAGAATGAAACTGTCGCTATTGCTTCCATCACGATAATTGATTTTGTTCATGAGTGACTAAAATATGCGTAATTAAAGCTTTAATTAGTTCTTGACGCACGAAACGTATTCATTCTTATCACTTATGATCGAAGGCTGTGCAAAGATTAGCAAGCGCCTTCTCAGGAGGTAAGTGTGCACAGGAGTGCTTTGTAGAAGTCTTTCAAAGTAGACCCGTTGAGAAGCTGTGGCAGTGATGCTGGGAAATATTTTTACTTGTGACCACAAGGACGCTGAGATATGAACAAAACTCAAGGCCCCAGTTAGAATTCGAACTAGCTATTACCTCCGAAGGGAGCTCACGAGCTATCCACAACGTTAACCGAGGCCCTTGCATTGCGTTTCTCTCAGCCGTATTTTTACTATAATGATGCTATCAAGCGAAAGAAGGAAGAGAAAGGATAGAAAGGCAATGCAAGGACTCCGACTGATGTGGCAGATTGCACGTAAGCTGCTTTTGAGGGTAATCGCGGCCTCGAAGCCCAACTGAGGTTCCGAGTTTTGCACACATCTAAGCGTACTTCTGGTTGCACTTCACATCACAGCAAATAAATAAAAAGTTAACGTAGTCATTCTTACTAACATTTTTCACAGGTATGTGCAATTGAATTCACCGATTGTAAAAATAGGCAAGGAACTTCGATTATAAATAGAAGCAAATGGACATATGATACATTTATAATTTGTTCTTAATGGTGAAATATTTGATTAGAAGTTCACTGTAGTTACCAGAAGTTGCTGCATTTGATAAAGATAAGTCGACTTTATCATAATCACTTAGCAAATGGAAATGTGCTAATAAATAAAGGATGACGCTTCCGGCGTTGATCAATACCTGAGGGATGCGCCATGCATTCGACTTCATTAAGCGTCGTTTGGAGGTGATTGAATGCATATCTTGCCTTTACAATGACTCGCCGTGCCTACCGATGTATCGAGCCAGTACTGCTATCCTCCCAGACAAGTCTGCTACCAGTTTACCGACCCCGAAGGGATGGAAGACTAGGTGGGACATGGGTGGGGATCGATCCCAAGTGTGTGTTGCAGGGCGCCTCCGACCACTGCGCCACACGTGCCTTCTAACATGGAAATTATGAGGAGAACACTGGTGAGCACGTTGAAGTAGAAATGTGTGAAACGAAAATGGAAATCCGTTAGTACAAAAAGCATAGATTCCCAAAGTAGAAGAAAAAAGTACAATGCTACAGACGATAGATTAGACACATGCACAAACCTCAACATCCATACGTCAATTGCCTTTACATAGGATACCCGAGGAAGATTCCTGATAATGTTGCCAAATTGAAAAGTCATCGCCAGCAATGAGTTTACTCCTAGCATAGTTCTGGCTGGGATTGCTCTGCAAAAAACTTTATCATTAACCTTGCCGTTTTTTTATCTACGTGGAAAATCTATGATAAGGTCATATTCGAATTTCCGGCTCCCTAACCAAACGAATGTCCTAAAACTAAAACTACAGTTGTCGGAAAGGTCGTAAAGCTGTGAAAACTGATCATCCCTGCACCGAGAATCTCTTCAATGATGTTTTCTATGCGAAATATAGCTTTAATGATGTTATTATATTTCGCAGTATACCCCGCCGTTAAAAAGAATAGGCAGTAAATAAAACGGTTAAGATTGATGTTTTCTATGGTTTTAATGTTTCCGCAAATGATCTTCTGCTCTTCCACACGGCCGTTTTGGGATGCGATGTCTTACTGAACGAATTTTCGCTAAGTATGGATAATACTTTTCATTCTTATGCAGAAATCATCCACCCGTGTCTTCTCACCTAACCTATTTGACTGCGGATCGGAATGGAAAAAACCCTGGATTTCAGAATTTGAACGCACTCTCGTCAATATGTTCCGCTCCCACAAGTTGTAGACGTTTCATTAGCAAGTGAATGACCGTATAAATTTGCAAAATTATAAGAATTCTGCTAAAATCCTTCTGTCTCACTTGCCAGATTTTACAGTAGCAGAACAAAGTATGAGGTCTTTGTGGCAAACAGTATACAAAAACGATAAGACTCTAGACGTTGATCAATCCCTGGCGGATGCACCATGCATTCGACGTCATTAAGCATCGTTGGAGGTGATATTGAATGCATATTTGGCCTTGTAATTACTTTTTCAAATAGCCATAACCGAAACCATCTGCGCTTCTGTTCAACAATGTTTATAGAAAACTCGATATAAGTAAGCCAAAACTCAGGTTTACACTGTGAAGGAGAAAGCAAATACTTAAAGATTGGTTCAAAATTTCTAAGAAAAGCTCACTTGTACATTTTACAATAAATTAGACAAACAATTCCAGATCAGCCCATACAGGAGCAATCAAACGAACTTGTCCACGTTTAGGAAAACAACGATAATTAGCGAGGCCCATTCATAAGTGAAGAAAGTCCAAATTCACACACCGACCTCGGTCCCAAGTAGAATGAAATCCATGAGATTACGATAGTGACCATAGTAGGAATATATCCTTGCAATATATACCAACCATAACGTCGTTTAAAGATGAACGCTACCGTCAACTCGTCCCACCACCCAGCGGGATACATCTGAAATTTTGAAGGCATTTCAGAAAGGTATTGAGAAATATAACTCTTTGAATAGTTGTCTATCACTCAAATTTTTAACACTATTAATGATTTTCATTTCTCAAAGCATAAAAAAACAAGAAAAAAAGAAGAAGAAAGAAAATAAGAAAGAAAGAAAGAAGTAAAAACCACAGAAAAAGTGGCCTTGAAAGTTATGCGGCGGTTATTGACCTCCCACCCAATAGTCTACTCCGTCGGCTAGTTTATAACCGCCTCTATGATCGCAATGATGCTGAGATAACTGCAAAACCCCTGCCACAGGTGCCTGCGATTGGGAACGAACGCGCTATCATCCTTTCCAGGGACTAACGCGTTCACCACCTCACCATGTGAGTCCTTCGTTTCGCTTTTCTCTCAGCCAGTTTTCTCTCTGCCAGTGCCATCAGCAGTCAAGTCACTCGTTGACGGGATTGATCTGCGGCCCCCAAATCGCCTCTATGATCGTTTGTACAGCTCAGAAACTAGTGCAATCTGTCCTAAAGGGAGAGACCGGTATTATATGAGCTCAGGTGCAATGTCATCTCATGTAAGGCATGCGGTGAAGAATTCATTGGGGTAACAGATTTACCACTTTGTGCCCGCATAAAACAACATCTAAATGGAAAGGCTAGAATTCGACATGCGCTCCTCAGGGAACATACGTGCAAGAAAATCGTGCAAGATTCATCTCCCCGCCACTCAGAAGACCCTCTTCCTATTCTTTTTGAGTTTCAGCTCTCATCCCTTAGTGGCATAAAAATGACTGGATTAAATGATGAACATGATTTGAAAAGCACCTCAATGCAGCTAAACAGAGTTCTAGACGTTGAGACATTTTTAACAGTAAAGTGACCATAGTCATAAGGGGGCATTAGAACACTGTCTTGCATTAACATCGTAACAAACTTTATCTTAAATGATAGAAAGGCAATCACAAAGAATACTTCTGGCCAGTGATAAATATAGTAGCTAAATGTGGAGAATGAAAAACCTGTTCGACAGCGATCACACTGAAATTGACCAACTCAAAATCGGGTAACTGAATAGGTTTCAATAGCATCACCGGATACGGTTGATTCCACTGCATACGAACTTCACCTGTGTTATAATTATACCTAAAGGTACCGGAGTTAAATACTCTATTCATCATTGGTTACTGCAAATAAACACAAACACTAACGATTCGAATGTAAGAAAACATCTTTGCTGATCAAATGGGAATCTCTTCAGATTCATATCACATGGACCGGTTAATTTCATACGATAATTTGTCCATAACGTACCATTTGCGAAAACCATTAGAAAGACATTCCTGAAAAGATTTTTCTTAAGCGATAAGAAAGTGATTTCGAGAGCGACGGTGTTAAACATAAAGTAGAAAAGCAGTGGCTTGAATCAGATTAGAGAAACTCAAACAAATCAAAAAATCCAACAGGGTTGAACTCAAACTAGATGCCTAACATAACCTTATTCGGAATTTCCTCGATTCAGTTCAAAATGTCTATCCTGACGTTTTCGAGACATTCTTATCGATTTTGTAAACCTATTTGCTCGACAATTTTTCACAGCTCTGAGAATACTAATCGCAAGTAGCAGAGTATGTTGCGATATATAACTTCTATGATGCTGAGATATTTGCAGAACTCCGAACCACAGTTATCTGCGGTGAGGAACGAACGCGCTATTACCCTTTCCAGGGGTTAACTCGTTCACCACCGCACCTTGTGGGTCATTCGTTTCGCTTGACTTTTACCTAGTTCTATCGATCCATGCCATCAGCAATCACCCGTCAGCGGGATTGATTTGGGAGCCCAAATCCAAAGCTCCCGGAACGGGTAATAGCGCGTTCGTCTCCCACCACAGACACCTGTGGTCCGGAGTTTTGCAAACATCTCGGAATCATTGAAATTACATTTCGCAACATACCCTGCCATTAAAAAGAGTAGGCAGTAAATAATAAGTTAAAAATAACCGAAACCTTAAGAAAATCTTTGAGCTATCGATGAAACTTGGTCCCGTCATTAGTAGAAATCTTTCGCGATGAAGTGGTTTATAGTTCCCAGGATCGACTTTCTATTAACCTCGGCATTGGAAGTGGTTTATACACATCTTTAACTATCGCACTCGTATCAACTAATGTCCTTGGGCGATATCAACATTGTTTCTGTGGTACTTTCACTTGCTTTTCCAGCCTTTGAATTCATTTTCTATCTACACATTGTATAAAAATGGCATTTGGCACCTAAGGAGTAACACTCACGTCAATATCTATAGTAAACCTATGCAGTCAAAGAATTATTTTAAATTTTTACTGTTTGATAGCGGGTTGCTAACATCAACTCAGAAATCGCCACTTCCACAGAAATCGTTATCGCCTTAAGAGAGCTTTAATCGAAAAGAAGGAAATCTCTGCCTGATCGACAACCAGTAGCGACAGCTTATGATGAAGAGCTAAGAACACATGAAATAGCTTCCTCGAGATGCTAAGGAAAAGTACGCTCGACCATTCTCCAACATTTATGGACGACGAGAAGAGAAGATGGATGACGATTTGTTGAAAGGAAAGGGATTGATGGTGGTTGGATGCAAGAAAATGAAGTGAACCGGAGACAGAACATCATGTGAAACAGACCGAATGAGGAATTGAGCAATTGGTAACAACTTAATTTAGATGAAATTCGCATAAAGTGAAAAAGAAACATTGACCAACCATCGAACACAAGGACATGTATTGAATTTAATATCACTAGCTATCTATGTTTAGCTTTCCGCGCCGAACGTACCGTTTCAGGTAGAAAAATTATGTTAAATAAAAGAGTCACCCTTTGCTATAATAGCCTGAAAAGGTGTTCTTTGGGCAATATCTCGAACCTTTTGCTTTGGTTTAGGTAGCGCAATGTAAGAGAGCTTTAAAAATAGTCAGCACTTGATTCCCAAGTTCAATGGCCATCCCAGATTAATCAAGTCGTTCAGCTGTCCTCGATTCGTTTTTTACCGAGGAGAAAGCACAATGATCAGTAACGGTTAACATAACAACCAACTGGTCTGCCTTAATAAGTAAAGTTTAAGCAGCAAAAGTACAACGTTAGAGTATAATGATATCGCTGCTGATAGATGAGGGATGCGAATTACATCCGACTTCATTGGCCATCGTAGAGGCATCTGAGTATATATGTGACCAACGTAGTAGATTATGAGGGCTATCCGATGTGCAGCAACAGTGTTTTTATCCTCCCCGATGAGTCTGATACCAATTTCCGAATGCTTCGTGGGTTCGAGGCGCGAAATCAATCAAGCGACCGATCCAATATGTATTAAAGGGCACCTCAGAACACTGCGCTACACTCCACTCCCGCAGTAAAGGTAATGTGCAGTACTTTAGAAAACACAATGTGAAACACACTAACCAAACCCCGCAGTCGTATTTACGGTCCTTCTTGCAGGGAAGCGAAAGTCGAGAGGTTCTTTCAAACATAAATTTTTTCTATAATGCTGAGAAATTTGCAAAACTCAGGACCGCAGGTGTCTGCGGTGGGGAACGAACGCTCTATTATCCTTTCCGGGGAGTAACGCGTTCGCCACCACACCATGCGGGTCCATTGTTCCACCTGTCTCTCAGCTAAATCTATCGATCAGTGCCATCAACAATCATCCGTCAGCGAGATTGATCTGGGGAGCACAAATCCAAAAGCCTCGGAAAGGGTAATAACGCGTTCGTCTTCCACCGCAGACACCTGCGGTCCGGAGTTTTGCAAATATCTCAGAATCATTGAAATTACATTTCGCAACATACCCCAAGAATAGAGAGTAAATAAAAAGGTTAGGATAAATTTCTTCATTTAACACTACTCTAATCAGAAGCTGATAACTTTCTATCAACAGTGAAGCGAGATTGAAAAGGTACAAACAGACAAATAACTGGTGCTGTTCGACTTCGTTTTTGATATTTATTAAAGAATATGATTAAAATCTCGAACCTGAATGGTGATTCATGAATGGCAGCATTTTTAGAGTTAATGAAGCACGTGTTTGGAATCCACAGCTTCTGAAGGACTTTGTCGTCAAACGAGATGTTTGACTTACACGGATTCATATAGTCGAACACTAACGCCGGATCTTCCCAGAATTCGTTAATGTAGAGATCTGAATAAAAATTTGCAAATGTATTTCAACTTATTTGTAGCCATTTTATAAATGTGCACAAAAATACACTTCTTTTCGGTATTGGCTAATATATGGGTGATACGCCAAGTATTCTACTTCAAAGAGAACTGTTAGAGGTAATTGAATGCATATCTGGCCTATGCCTTGTGATAGCTTGCCTATGTATTAGTTCAGTGCTGCTGTCGTCCCAGATGGGTCTGAGACTTAGGACAGAGCATAAAGCAAATGTGTATGCCAGAGTACCTCTAACAGCTACACTATAGGCGTCCATGTATTAAAGAGCAGATGAGACAAAAAACAAATCGAGACAAAAATACTTCGCTTTCGAAAGTCTTTCTCAAAACTTCTGTTAAAAAGTGTAAAAACGCAGTATATCCAGTGGTCCACTATCCTTTTTATGGCCAGAAGCGCCTGTGGTTACCGAACAGCGGTATAAAGTGGTCGTTTCCCTTGACGAAAATTTTACCGTCTGGGAACCAGGTCAAAATTTTCATAGTGGTTTAAGTAAGGATAAACCCATACTACAATATAGCTCAGTAAGCTGCTCATGACAATATTAGCGTAAAAATCATTCAAAAAAAGGGCATGACGTGTTACTTTCCATGTAGCTGGAGCTAATGAAGCTCACTGAACAGGTTTTGTTTGAGGTCAGAACGACAACAATTAGTAAATATACAGTTGCACCATGAAAGATAAAGCGTTCGGCGTTACCAATCTCTGAGTGATATGTTATGCATTCTACACCATCTGCAGCATCGTAGACGTTATTGAATGCGTTTCTCGTGTATGCGATGACTTGCCGTGTTGCTGACAACTCTGGTGCCAATTTTCCGATCATAGAAGGACGGATGGCTTAAGTGCCCGGCATAGTACCAACAACCGCGCTACATGCGATTATAGAATTGGTACACTAAATGTCGAAAAGAAGCACCCAAGAAATCTATCCGCAGCTCGTCGGTGTGCTCAACTTACCGATTTCAAAATCCTGGGTAAGTTCGGAGACGGCGGTCACTTCTTGAACCCACATATCAACTCTGACTTGTGTAGGATGGGACGGTATATAGTGCTAAAAGAACAATTCAATAACTCAAAAGACCGACTTTCTATAAACCTCGGCATTAATAATCAATATAGTTATTGATACGCTTTTATGAGCTGATATTGTTGAGCAGATGCGAGGTTGGTACAGTTGTCGTTCTTGCTGTGTTGTTGGTCGATGACTGACGTTTCGGCGATTTCGCTCTCCTTTGAGCATGGACGTATTTTGTATAAGGATAGTTTAATCATTCGGTGGAGAAGAAACCAAAGTATCCACAAACATAAAAGTCTTAAATAAACGTCGTATTGATCAAAAAGACTCGTACTCACCGTGCTGTTACGAGTGGGACTGCCCGCCTCTTGTTCACGTGGGACGATGAGCGAGACCCACCTAGGTTAGAAAATCATTTTGAAATAAGGCACCAGATCACGTGTGACAGTGAGGCATTCGCCTATCCCGTTCGTGTTTGGTTTTTTGAAGTTTGTCCAAAATGTCTCAAGAGTCCTGCACGTCTATGCTTTTGATTCCTGCGCTAGGATCCGTTCAGTCACTTCAAAATCATCGCTATTGTACTTTTGTGCTCTATGTGTACCTAGAGGAATGCTTTGACGAATTTTAACTTTTCCATCTAGGTGTCCTTTTATGCGAATATAAAGCGGACTACCTGTTTCCCCAATGCATTTTTCACCGCTTCCCTTACAGGAGATCAAGTATATTGTACCTGAACTCATCGAATCCCGTCTCTCCCGTTAGGACACACAGAGGCGGTTGCGAACTAAATGACCTCTTAATGGTGTATCTTACTTCACTTGATATTAAGGATAGCTTGAAAAGATCTCACTTAGATTCGAAACATTATTTTAGGGAACAACCCTGCGCTTTTGTCTGACCCGAGCGGCTTCTGCTTCGCACCCGTTGGAAATGGCTATTTTTTCGTGCCAAATTTAGCGACTCCTCCCTTTCCGCTTCTCCTGCGCACACATTTTTAGCCGTATGGTACATGTTTTTGACAAGTGACTTTCCATGTGTGAAGGATGAGAGGACAGGTAGTAAACTAGTATATTTTACTACTTGGCTTACGATATAATTTCGTTATAAAGCCGCTTTCTGAGGGCTTAATTTCAATGTTTAAGAATGGAATCCAGTTCTCGGTTGATTTTTCCCGCGTGAAATTTATATACTCTGACTGTCCGTTTAACAGTTCAAAGCGTTCCATTTGCTCTTATGTGGGAAAGACGATGAAACAGTCGTCTGCGTATCAACAGTAGGGTAAGGGTAGAGGAGCGACAACTAGAACTTCCACATTAGACATAAAAGCGATGGCAGGGCTTGGTGTTAATCACTGTCCTATGGTCAACCCGCTACTTTGTGCAAAATATTTTCCACACCACCTAAAGATTGAACGGCTAAGACACTGTTTTAAGAGAGTCATTAGTTATGCACTCAGCAACCCATATACGTTTATTTTCTCTTCATTTTCTACGAGCAGCTCGAGAATGGCTTGCAATGCGGAGTCATTTGACACGTTAGTAAAAAGTGAAATAACATCGAATGAACGCCATTACACGCGTTCTGTTTGGTTGCGTGCACGGTAGGTGCCCTAGGAATATTTTGCAATTGGGTTGATGGATTGATATGAACGTTGGCAGTTGGGTCAGGATAGGGTTTAAGAACCACGCTACTCTATCTGTTGGCCTCGCCTATACAACTAATCATTGTTCGAACCGAACCTTAAATGACCAACGGTCCGTGGCCGCAAGATCATCAGTAAAAGTAAGTTTGTGCGTCCTAATAAGCAAGTATAAGACATGAGATGTTGGAAGTCCTGAGATATAACTGAAGGTGCTAAACCCGCCGCCCTTGCCGTGTTGACCCAATCTCGATTTAATTTTCGGTATTGATCTCTATGTTCCTTTTCAGAAGATAGTTGATGGAGAGAAGCATCATAAAGATGTTTTTCTGTTATTCTAACACCTAACGTCTTGTATAATTTCCAAAAATCCAAAGATGAACCGGAAAGACAAATGCCTCACTATCACACCTGACCGGGCGCCTTATTTCTGATGTTCTGACCTGGCTCGGTCTCGCTAGTTGTCCCACGTGAACAAGAGACGGGCAATCCCACTCGTAACACCACAGTGAGTGGTTTTTGATTAATATGGCCTTTATTTATAAATTAGCTCTTCATTAACATTTTGGTTCTTTCTACTGAATTATTGAGCTATTCTGGTATAAAATACGACCAAGATCTTAGGCAAAGGCGAAATCGCCGAAACGTCAGCCATCGACTAACAATAACAAGAACAACAACAACAACAACGACAATTGTACCAACCTCGCATCAGCTCAATAAGATCAGTTCAAAAGAACGTGAAAATTCAACAACATTTTTCCTTCTACTTGGACTTACTTGGAGAAAAGACCGCTCTGTCCCACTTTCATCGATTTACAAAAGGACTTTGATTCATAGCGCGAAAGACCGACTTTCTATAAACCTCAGCATAGATAGTTGACATATTTATTTATATGATCTTATTAACTGATCTTCTTTAGAAGATGCGAGCTCGGTATAGGTCTTCGTTGCCGTTGGTATTGTTGGTCGATGGCTGACGTTTCGGCGACTTCGCCTTCCTCAGAGCCTGGATGTATTTTATATTAGAATATTTTTATTATTCGGTGGAAAAAAGGTTAAAGTGTTAATGGAGATCAAACTTTCAAATAGATGCCATATTGAACAGAAAGGCCACTCACCGTGATGTTACGTGTAGGACTCACTCACACCTAGTTCACGTGGGGTCGCGACCAAGACACACCCCAATGTCAAAATATCATTTTGAAATAGGGCGCCAGGTCACGCGTGATAGTGAGGCATTCGTCTTCCCTCCCGTCTTTATTTCAAAATGATATTTTGACCTCGGGGTGTGTCTTGCTCGCGACCCCACGTGAACTACGTGTGGGCCAGTCCCACACGTAACATCACGGTGAGTGGCCTTTCTGTTCAATATGGCGTCTATTTGAAAATTTGATCTCCATTAATACTTTAACCTTTTTTCACCGAATAATAAAAATATTCTAATATAAAATACATCCAGGTTCTGAGGAAGGCGAAGTCGCCGAAACGTCAGCCATCGACCAACATCAAAAACAACGACAACGACAACGAAAACCTGCACCAACCTCGCGTAAGCCTTTGATTCAATTGAGATAAAAGCAGTCTTGGGAGCTCTTGATAATCAAGGAGTCCCTACTCAGTACATAAAGATTCTTCGTGACCTGTACAAAAATTTCACGACCAAAGTATCACCATTCTACAACGATATTAACATTGACGTCAAAAGATGGGCTAGGCAAGGCGACACCATCCCGATAAAATTATTTACCGCCACTGTCCAGGACGTTATGCGAAAACTAGAATGGTACCACATGGAAATCAAAACCTATGGTCGGCAATTGCACCATCTTCGTTTTGCCGATGGCATCGTCCTTATAACACCAAACATTAGCCAAGCGGGACGCATGCTTACTGACTTTGACAAAGACTGTGGAAAGGTAGGTCTTCGATTAAATCTCACAAAAACGATGTTCATGAGTAACGAAGTGGTTTCGTATGCCCCATTCACGCCCAACGGAGCAAGTATCTCCAAATGCTTCAGTTATGTCTATCTAGGTCGGGAAATCAACATGTTGAACGACTTAGCTCCAGAGTTGAGCAGAAGGAAACGAGTGGCTTGGGAAGCTTTCAGAAGCATCAAGGATGTAGTGAAGAAGACAAAGAACACCCGACTGCGTGCCCACCTGTTCGACTTCTGGTCGAACAGAATTCTGGTCGCTGCGTAAGCAAGATTAAAGGTCACTCAGCGTTATCGAACGCGCAGTCGAAAGGACGATGCTAGGAGTATCCCGTTCCACACAATTAAAGGATGGGACCCGAAGCTCCGATCTGCGTCAACGACCAAAAATCAAAGATGCCGTTCTGTACGCCAAACAGTCGAAGAAAAGGCGGGCCGGACACGTAATGCGTATGGATGACAACCAATGGACAAGAGCCGTTAGTGACTGGATTCCTCGGGATGTCAAACGTACTGCAGAAAGACCACCGAACCGATGGTCAGAGTTCTTCACAAAGAGCCTTTAAAAAAGAAATGATGCTCGACGAGTCTCTAGAGCGAGCAGAACCCACTGCGCTACTCTTGCATGCGACAGAGAAAAATGGAATATTTACTGGTGTGCGCTCGAGTCACTCGACGATCAATGGGGCTACAGGTGATACAGGTGATACTTGGAGTTTCTTGACTCTTCCTTTTCCCCACTTTTTTCTCCTTGGAAATATATTTTTTTTCCAAAAACCATTACTCACAATAGATCAACTTCGAGACCGTTCTTCTGAAGATCGAGCTGCGAAGAACTTTGGCATCTGTTCTTGTAGTTTTTATTACAAAACAATTCAAGTCGGAAGTTTTAGAAAGCTAGTGAATTTGTTGTGAATGCCACGATCCTCTTGACTAGTTCATTTCCAATCTTTATACACCGCCTGCCACTCCCCCTGTGTTTAAATAAGGCACTTCTTATTAATCATTATGAAGTGACTATGGATTAGACAAATATTATAAACTGATTTAAGATATTCTGGACATTCTAAGCTCTAAATAAGAAAGCTTACTGTGGTATTAACTTGTTAGGAAAGGAAAAAACGTTTCTGTATTGATTTTAGTTTTTCGGAGATTGAACAAATCCTAACATGATAGAATCGTTCTTGAATGGGAAGCACTAAATATTAAAAATATACTGTAGAAACTCAACCTTCCAACGGTTTACCGCCTCATGGTGGCTGGAGGTGTTCCTGGGTGTCGGGCTGCGAAGTGCAGGGGTTGGGGTACTCATTCCTTCGGCAGGGTCTCTCAGGCTGAGAACGAGTCCCGCTTTTCCACCAAGAAGCCTAGATAAGAGTAAACCAATATCCTGGTCTACCACCGTCTTGGTCTCAAACTAGTTGCATGGTTACAAATTTCCCTCTGATCTACAAGGGCTGCCACTGCATGTGATGGTGAAGACCTGGGGCAGACTTCGGCCAGGCTGATCTCGAGATTCCAGGGAACCACGGTGGCTAAGCCAGCAAAACTCCGAACAAATGGAATTTATGCTGGGGCCTACACAACTAGTGAGGACGGCCCGTCCAAGTGTCCAATTAAATATAAATTCAGTATCTAGTTATAAGAAAAACTTTCCTTAGCGTCCTTTGTTTCCTTTTCTCCTTCTTATAAGCTACACAAACCTTATTATAGGAATCCTTGAGCAAAGTATTGATAATATCAGTATCGTTGGCACATCCATCCAGCGATGTTGTCATCCCCATTCCATGACTTATCGACATTTCGCTAAGAAACGTGAGCATCACCACCAAACCGCAATGAATCATCTGAAGAAAAAGTCTATTTGTCACACATGACGTCATTCGTCTCCAAGCATCAATGAAACATTGATGGCATCATTGTATCGGTGTCCCGTCGAGAAAAACTCCACCTGATTTTGCATTCAGGTTTCACTTTATTCTTATTTCAACAATCCGCTCTAAAATACGATTAGATCACCAGCGAACCGTAATTAATCATTTGAATGAAAACAATTCAATATAGATGGCGTTGCAGCCTAGAAGATCACTGAAACAATGACGTCATCATGTTGGCTTGATGTCTCGCTGAAACTGTATTTATTTTCGCTTTTCGGTCATATTTCATTTAAAAAATTTTTTGAATTTTACAGTGCATTGATAATAGTGTTCAAAAACGATGACGTTCTTAGCGTTGATCAATCCCCGAGAGATGTGCCATGCATTACACTTGATTGAGCACCGCTGGAGGTGGTTAAATGTATGTCTGGCCTTCACAATGACCCGCGACGGGATCAACCCAGTGCTATTACCCTCCCAGATGATTTTGGTATCAATTTACCGATTCCAGTAGATGAAAGGCTTGGTGAGCCACCAGTGCGGAGATCGATCTCGTGTGTGTGCTGCAGCGCGTCTGTGACCGCTGCGCCAACAATAGTTATACAGAAATAACAATACTTTTATCATTATCTATACACAATCGTAAAAACACGAACGTGAGTAACAACACAATAACGTTTTTGAGCCACATGTGACTCATAATATCGTTAATTTGACAAAAAAAATCGCTCAAAATGGGAAAAATAGTGAGGAATAAGTCAAACTCTAAACGTATGAATATTTCAAAAATTAGTGAAGAAACATATTGAAATACGAAAAACCTCCTTTTACTACTAAAATTTAATTCGTTCATTTTAAAGCAAGTATTTAGGCGCGAAAATTTCTTTTCGCGAAAGAAAATTCATTTTCAAAAACAGAACTTTTTAAGAAAAAAAATAAAGCGAGAACAAAACGAGAAAAAGAACGGAGAAGGCGCTTCTCTTTACAGCGCCCGTTCCTATTTTTATGCTTTCAGCGACTATTTTTGCTTGTTTAAATAAAAGTTTAAAGAAAATTCTCTGAGGCGATTTTTCTTCCAATTTTTGATGAGTAAATGCACGCATTGGACAAAATCTTATACAAGTAGGAAATATATTTTTCCAAAAGAAAACAGTAGGTTCTAACTTTTTTTATAATAAAAATAATCACATTCAACAGAATCCGTTACTTTTCAAAACTCATTCAACTTATTATTGCGCTGTTTATTCCTATTTGTGTTAAGTTATGCGACACTGTATTGTACTCTGCCATAATAAAAAGAATAGGCAGTAAAAGAACAGGCAAAACGGCTGGCATTCATTTGGGTCAGTTAAGCAATGTTATTTTCAGTCATTAAAACAATTTCTTTCCATGAATAGATATGTTCTACTCACTACTAGTAACTTTTAATTATTCAAGGGAGCAACTATTTTTCAGAAATACTTCTGCTGAGTTAAAATAAAAAAAGGATAAAGCTCTCGGCGTTGAATATTCCCTGAGAGATGCACCATGTATTCGGTTTCGTTAAGCATCGTTGGAGGCGATTGGATGCAAGTCTGGCCTTTACAATGACTCACAGTGGCATACTGATGTATCGAGTCAGTGCTGATTTCTTCCCAGACAAGTCTGGTACCAATTTGCCGACCCAAAAGAATTAAAGGAAAAATGGAAGGTTAGGTGAGCCTGAGACATGGGGACCAATCCCATTTGTATTGCACGGCGCCTACGACCACTGCGCTAAACACGCACCTATATAGGCGGAAAATAAAAGCAAATATATTGTATTGCATTTATATTACATCACAGCATATTTTACTATATACCTCTCCTTCCACGGATCCCCCTCATGTGAGGGATCTCGAGCCGGTTAGTCGCGAAACTACGTGCCGCGTCCCCAAGTGGTGGATAGGGGGTTAATCGCGGGCCGTAAGCGTTTCCCTGAGACGCAGGTGGATCCAAAGGATGGACTCCTTGTTTCTGCTGCGCTGATTTGGCACATACTTTCTGTATTTGCTAAGCGTATTCATGCATGCGTGAATGGGTGCATTCTCGCTTATGCGGATTGTATTCTGCGGGTCAATTCGGCCAAAAGCCTGCAAACAAGTGACTGGGAAGTATATGTGAGGTGGTTAGGAGTCGCCTCCAACAAATGAGCTCCATGTCCACTCTGGGAGAGCCTGGCAAGCTACCTGTGAGTATACCCAGACGTCAGCCTTTCAACGCCGTCTATGACATCGGAGAAGAACTGTTCCTCGCGAGCAACATGCGACAATAGAGGAGTCGGCGGCGCCGGCGTTCTCGTCAACACGAGTTTGTCCATGAACATCGATTCATTCGAACAATTTACAACCCAAATCGGGCGTTTACGATTGAGAAGACGTGGATCAATTCCGGCTTGGACAATCTTCGTAGTTTACGCGCCGACATCAAACTATGACGAAGAAGAAGTCGAAGCGTTCTATATGGACTTGGAGAAGTTCTACAGAGAAGATCATACATCCTTCAAGGTCATCATTGAAGATTTCAACGCCAAGACTGGACCAAGAAGAACGTCTGAAGAACGTCACATTGGGACCTACGAATTAGAATGGAACGAACAGGGCGAGCGGCTATCTGAGTTTATAATGGCGACCAACACCATCCGCGGTAACTCGCAATTCCGGAAACCCCACCCTCAACGTTAGACATGGGAGTCTCCCAACGGAGAGTACCATAACGAAATAGACGACATCATAGCAAATAGAAGGTTTTGCTTAATCGATGTCGTTGTTGACCCAAAATTCTACACGGGTTCAGACCATCGCCTCTTTCGTGTAAAATTTTATTTCTCGCGGAATGAAGAAAAAGCCGCTAAATTCCAAAACCGAAGTTCCAGAACCACCGCAAACTTGGACTTATTCAATTCATTTGTCGGCTACTGGGAAGATGCCGTTGTCGATAACATCGACGAAGAATACGACCGGCTCATTCAACGTTTTCACGTTAGCGCTATGAAAGCTGAGAGTTCGAAAGTCAACAAGAGACGTTGGTCTCCAGAAACACTCGGGCTGATACGCCAGCGTGGAATCGCACAAGCTGCAGGCAACCGCGAACTAACGTCCGAGCTTGCAAAACAATGCATACAGTGATTAAAAAAAAGATCTAGAGAGAGAAGAGAGAGAAGAGCAGAAGTAATGGCCGAAGCTGCAGAGGCTGGGAAAAGAATTCGCAAAGTCCACCGAAGCTTCGCCAATTGCAAGACCAAAATGATTGCTCTCCGGCGCCCAGACGGAACAGTTACAGCGTCCAGAAAGGCAATGGAGAAAATCACTCACGAATATTAATCACTTCTCTTCGATAGCCACGTCCACCTTCTGACATATGAAATAAAGGAGGATGGATATGTTGTACCACCGGTTCTCCCTTCCGAAATCCGACATGCCATTTCATCGGTGAAAAATCGAACAGCACCAGGCCCAGACAGGATAAGATCAGAACACCTGAAGAACCTCCAGCCAGTCCTCGTAAACACACTGGCTCGGCAATTCACACGTTACCTGTCTGAATGCAAGGTCTCTACCTAGTGGAAGACCAGCAAGATCGTGTTATTGTTCAAGAAGGGAGACCTACACGATATCGACAACTATCGCCCAATCTGCTTACTGTCTGTCGTCTACAAACTTTTCACTTGAGTCATCCTAAACAGGATTGACAGAACACTTGACGAAGAACTGCCATGTGAGCAAGCAGGGTTTCGAAAAGGATTTAGTAGGATGGGCCACATCCAGACGATAACAAGGCTCATCGAGGTGTCACGAGAGTACCAAAGACCGCTCCCTCTCACTTTCATCGATTTACGGAAGGCCTTCGATTCAATTGAGATAGAAGGTTCCCAGGATCGACTTTCTCTTAACCTCGGCATTGGAATATGAATGTGTCGTTTTCTTGTTGAGCAATCGCGAGGTTTTTAAACAGCATACATTTACTTCCATAAAAAACACAATACAATACAACGCTAGCTGACGTTTCGGCAGTATCGCCTTCTTCAGAGCCGCTTTTTTCGTGACTTCCAATGAGGAAGTTTAGAACAGCTGATTATAGTCCTTATAAGCTTAATTCCGGCAGCACTTGATACTATAGGACTATACTATAATCAGGGACTATAATCAACTGTTCTAAACTTCCTCATTGGAAGTCACGAAAAAAGCGGCTCTGAAGAAGGCGACACTGCCGAAACGTCAGCTAGCGTTGTATTGTATTGAGATAGAAGCAGTCATGGAAGCCTTTGATAGTCAAGTACTACTACTCAGTAGATAGAGATTCTTCGTGAGCTGTACAGAAATTTTACAACCAAGATATCACCATTCTACAACGATATTAACAATGACGTCAAAAGAGGTGTTAGGCAAGGCGATATCATCTTGCCAAAATTATTTACCGCCACCCTCTAGAACGTCATGCGAACGCTGGATTGAGATAATATGGGAGTGAAAATCGATAGTCGGCAGTTACATCATTTTCGCTTTGCTGATGACATCGTCCTTATAACACCAAACATTAGCCAAGCGGAACGTATGCTTGACGACCTTGATAAAGCTTGTGGAAAGATTGGTCTTCGACTAAATCTCACAAAAACGGTGTTCATGAGTAACGAAGTGGTCTCGTATGCTCCATTCACGCCCAAAGGAACAAATGTCTCCAAATGCTCCAGTTATGTCTGTCTAGGTCGGGAAATCAACATGATGAACGACATAGCTCCAGAACTGAGCGGAAGGAAACAAGCGGCTTGGGGAGCTTTCAGGAGCATCGAGGATCTAGTTAAGAGAAGAGGGAGCACCCGACTCCTTGTCCACCTCTTCGACTCGATGGTGCTTCCTGCCCTAACGTATGCGTCAGAAACCTGGTCGCTGCGTAAGCAGGATGAAAGGTCACTCATCGTTATTGAACACGTAGTCGTAAGGACGATGCTAGGA